AAGTTCTACTAACCTAGCAAGCAAGAATCAGAGCAAAACAACTCTAATAAGTATATGCATCATTTACGTTTCACAAACATGTTTCGTATGTTTCGAAGTAATGTTTCAGTTATTATATGCAAGATTATGCATGCATGATTAGGAGGCTTGATGATGCATGATATGCGTGATTTGCAGTGCCTAAATGTAGGCATAACACCGGGGTGTTACAGGCGTCGGAAAAAAAAATGTCGGATTTAAAAAAGAAAAGATTAGGATTCAAGTTATCTTAAATTAGGAATGTTTTCTTTTATTTCAAAGATTGTAATGAGTCGTATTTGAGTATGATTCATGTATAGGTTCCGGATATAAATATTAGACCACGGCTATTGTAAAAGATATCCAATTAATCAATACCAACTACTTTTTTCGGCTTTATGCCAACCCTTAGGAGTAGGAGTACTGTAGATCTCGGCGAGTTCTTCAACAAGCAGGGCTGCATCGATCCGGTCGACCTCCGACCTGTCTGTAAGTACCGTCATGGCTTATACTTATGTTTGTAAGGCTGCATCGGTCTAGCCGACCTCTTGCGAGCTCTAGTAAAAGTTAGTTATCGATCCTTATCTAATTCAAGTACGGCTGCATCGGTTAAGTTCGACCTCCAGTGCTCGAATTAGATTAAGGTCAAGTTATCGGCTCTACCTAAGGGTGGCATCCCTCGGGTAGATTTATTAAGTTACCGATCTTACTGATGTTCTTATTGTCATTAGTTTCAGCAATATCAATCTGCCCGATCGAGATCGATCTAGATCGGCCTCATATCATTTTAGTCCATCGTTTGTTTTGTCATACTGCGATGTTTCTTACTTTGAACGACGGATTATGTTTTATCGGTTGTTCTATTTCGATCTTGATCATGCATAGTACGCGGTCAAGGCATGTCTGATCCTAAGTAGGTTTACTAGCTAGTTGAATCTGGTCTATAGCTCGCTATTATGGCTGTAACGATCCGGTCTGATCCTGAGTAGATTTACTAGGGATAAGATATAGCTTTTCCTTCCTCTGCTCTTAGCATATTGGCGGAAAAATTGGGAGTTGGAATCACCTTGTAAGATCCATTTGCAGCCTATGATCTGCTTCCAATATATTTCCTCCATTTGATAGATATCTTCTAGCTGTTTCTCCACTTCAAATCTTCTTTCCCACTCTGTATTAGACATATTCCTGGATTCTAGCTCCTTGTCAAAATTATTTAACCTTTCTGTTAGATTATTGTCCTTAAGTTTCCTTTGATCTCCAATCCCCTGTCTATTCCAACCTTTTAAAAAAAATCTCAAGAACAGTAGGCTTCAAAACTTAATATGATTGGATTGATCCAAAACTTAGTATGCACAAAAATAGCACGCAACTTATAATGAATTTATTTATGAAAGGAAAGTGAACTAAAATTTCCACCATCATTAATTAGCTGACATCGAAAGCAGACACCGCAGCCACATGCATTCCTACGTGTCCACACTCCACAATGATAAAACGTGATGTTTCATTCATCTGCAGTCGCACATTTCATCTAGTCTGCCGTTTACACGGTAAAGTCCATATTGACTTGATCTCTTTGCCTGACTTATTGTATTGGAGACTTTTTTGTCCAACATTTCTCCCACCCTTCGATGTCATGAGAGCCACGTTCCAAACTTCCAATGTGTAGTCACAAACGACCACCCAACTGACCCATGTCACGCTTTCATGAATCCGTTGAAGTACGGTCGTTTCTATGGATTTTCTGGTTCTAGACTATTATCATCATCATAGCCGCATCGATCCGGTCGAACCTCACTATTGACGGTAGTAGATTAGATCTAGAAGGTTCGTAGATCTATCTATATCAAACAGTCAATTATCTGCGTGGCATATTCCTTTTTACCGAATTCATTGGCTCTACACCATGCATTGATCAAAACTAATTTAGCCAGTGATGTATCTTTAATGCATACATGTTAATAGCTTAGGGGAAAGGATCATTAAAACTGGGTGCATTGTATTCGTTACTATAAAATCAATCATGACCCGCGAGCGGCACAATCCTTAACAGTCGATTTCTTCACGTATCGGCTATTTAGTCGATTTTCCCGTCTGGCTGCTCCCGAAGCGGCACACTTGAAACTGTCTGGGCAAAACCGGCATGTTCCACCCTAAATTACTGATATATTTTCTCTCCTTGTCAATTATAGGTCAAATTGACTGGCACGTCCTCGGAAAAATCGCAGGATCGGCTGGTCCTACGTTGAAGCCAAGCGGATCTCCAACCTTGCTCCATCAAGCAGATCCTTCCAGCTTGCTGTGTGTTGACATTTTTGTGTCGACAGAAGTTTAAAGGCCTGTATAGCGGAGCTCTACCATTGCAAAAAAGTGAATCTGAATCCCAGATTCACATCCACCATGGATCCAAGATTCACCAAAGTGTTTGGTACAGCTTCACCTCCCACTCTATTTCACTGCCAAACTGGACCCATGCGTCAGGAAAAAAAAGATCGCTCCTTCCTTCCGACAGCCTTCGTGCAAGAGGGGAGCGCGGTCGGTGCGAACACGGCAGGCGGGGCTAGCACGGCCGGCGGCTTCAGCGCGGGGCGCGGCCAGGCTCGTGCGTAGGCGGGGCCAGCGTAGGAGGACGCGGGCGCGGGCGGCGAGGGCCGCGGGCGGGATGGCGCGGGGCCGACACGCCCAGAGATCGTAGGACCGGTGGCTCCCGACGTGGCCATGGCTGCCTCCCCACGGCCGACGACACGAGGGCCAGCGGGTGGGGCACGGACCTTGTTTCCGTGGCTGGTGCTTCGGTTGTGGCGTGGCGGTGTCCGGTGGTGGTGTGACAAAGGAGGACGGGCGAGGAAGACGACGGAGACGGCCGAGAAAGAAGCGAAACAGACGAAACAACTCGTTATTTTTATGTAACCAGTGGCAATGGTGGGTAATTTTCGTCAACTCTTCCAAACTTGGATTTGGTGGAGGACCCCTTGAGGTGCTCCACCAATTTGGTGAATCTGGGGCAGATCCACCGTTTTGGTGGATCATATCCACAGTGGAGCTTGAAGTGTTTGGCAAAGAAAGTGGATCTGGATCTGGTGAATCTCTACCAAACTGGCCCTAAAGGGGAGCGTGCTCCTGACCCCCTCGCTGATAGGCATCTCTATCTAGGCCGCGAGGGACGAGGCGAATGCCTGGAAGCGTGGGTCATCCTGCTTCACATTCCTCTGGCGAGGCCCTCCCCCTCCTTGTCCTGCTTCGCAAGAATCTCCGGCGAGAACCTTCGAGTAAGCGGCGTCGGCGATGACTGAAAAGCGCAGCGCCAAGGAGGATGTCTCTAATCACCACCAGGAGGTGAGGCGAGCATGAGCGCCACTGGCTCCACAAAACAGCCCCCCCCCTCCCCCCTCTATTCCTTGTTAGGCGGGTTGTGGTGTGGTCCACAGCCCGGTTGAGGCTGGCTAAGGGGCCAAAACAGGAAACCAAACAAACCCTAGGTGGCTTCCTGAAACCTAGATAGAGATACACACCCAAGCAAACACCCCTATCAAGTTAAATCATGGGTGAGGCCATGACGTCTCGAGTCGCAACCAATGTGAGACCGGGCAAGTTATCCTAGACCAAACTATGGGCGGTCTCAACAAATGTGAGTAGGCAAATTATCCTAGACCAAGCTAGGAGCGGCCCACGTGTGGCAAAGCCACGTTACTGCCTGCGAACCAAAGGCTTGTTTGGTTGTCGTGAGCTAGGCTAGCTCGCCTAAACCAACCTTGCGTTCAATTTTAGACGCTTAGAGTTGCTAAGCTCTCTAGCAGGTTCAAACCAAACATCCTCTGACCTGCGCCATCCTTATAAAAATCAAGAGATATTTACCTACATGTCCTTCAAAAAAATACGTCTTCCTTTTATGGTGTATTTTTTTTGAACTTATCTATATGGCCCGAAAATAAAAATCTCTTCCTTCTATGGCGTTACGTGACGATGTTAAGCGCGGATAAAATGACCATTTTACCCTGACAAAAAAAAAGTGCAGAGTTTAGTTTGACTGTTTTAGATTTAGAGTAATATTGCGCAAATAAGGTCACACGTTATAGTACATAAATTGTAGTTTCAGGGCTTGCACGCGATTAATATGCTGCTGAAACTTAATATTATTTTTTTAAACGTCTTAATGATCTTAAATGAAAAAAAATATGAAACTATAAAATTGTAGATCCCATAAAAAACTACAACTTTCATATATAAAGTATCTTCATTTAACACCATATAAGAAAGATATGATTTTCCAAGACGACAAGTGCTTGTACACGATTAATATAGTACTGAAACTTTATTTATTTTTTTAGAATCTTAGCGACCTCAAATTAAAAAACTCAAAACTAGAAACTTATAGATCTCATCGAGATCTACAATTCTCATATAAAAATCGTCTTTATCCGAGATCGTATAAAAAAGATATAATTTTTCTACTAAAACTTTATTCTTTTCACCAGGGGTAAAATGGCTATAGAAGAAAGATATTTTCGTTTTCGGGCCATACAGGCAACTTCAAAAAAAATTGAGACATAGAAGGAGGACACATTTTTTTAAGGTAAATATCTCAAAAATCAAACCCTGCGCCGTATGCTAAGACTAAAGAAAGAACAGGGCCACTACGAGATTATCCATGGTTATTCAAGGGTTGGATTCTTTAACTACTATATAAAAAATATGTTGTGCAACGGGTAAAAATATGGTTGGCAACGACCTGAGATATTCACGTCAAGACTTGTGTACCATACCATAGAGATTAATTACAGTCGCACTATCTTATTTGATAATCAAAATATAATAATAGATATTTCAAAACTAATAAAGGAACAAACAAATAGTACGGCCACCCGGCTGTGGCAAGCCACGTTCCAAACTTCCAATGTGTACAGTCACAGACGACCACCCAACTGACCCATGTCATCTACGAGTATAAGCTACCCTCTTCTCTGCTCACAAGCATAGCAGACATGGCGAGAGCTTGCATTATTATCCCCATTCTCATCCTCCTGTTCTCGAGTTCGTTGCGCCAACAATCCAGTGACCAACTAACACAAACTAAACCACTCTCGCCCGGTGACGTGCTCATCTCTAAGGACGGAGCCTTTGCTCTCGGCTTCTTCTCCGCAGGCAAATCTAACAAGAGCATATACATCGCCATCTGGTACAACAAGGTGCCGGAACGCACGGTGGTGTGGATCGCCAACCGTGACAGCCCAGTGATCGACCCTTCGTCAGCGAAGCTCGCCATCACTGGCAAACCAGAGCTGGTGCTGTCAGACTCCCAAGGCCGCACCCGTTGGACGACAACAATAACGACGAACAGCACCACAGCTGGAGGCACAGGAGCTTCCGCAGCGCTACTCAGCTCGGGTAACTTTGTCCTTCGTACGCCAACTGGCAAGACCATATGGCAAAGCTTTGATCACCCGACTGACACCTTGCTCCCATCCATGAGGTTATTGCTCAACCACAAAGCTCAAGTGCCAACTCGCCTCGTTTCTTGGAAGGGCCCTGATGACCCATCCACGGGGAATTTCTCATATGGCGTCGATCCCAACTCGAACCTTCAGTTCTTCACTTGGCACGGGAACTTGCCGTACAGCCGCTCCAGTGTGATTAACAGTGCCTCTATGTCCACTGGCATGTCCCTCGGCAATGGTTCCTCCGTCATATATCAAGCCATTGTTGACACAAGGAACGACCTCTACTATACGTACAAAATCCCTGAAGGAGCACCCTACATGCGCCTCTGGCTTGACTACACCGGCAAGATAAGGACTCAGAGTTGGAACAGCAACGCATCATCTTGGATGGTCGTTTTTGAGCGACCCCATTCCAGCTGCGATCTCTATGCCTCGTGTGGTCCATTCGGCTACTGCGACAGCGTGGGTGACGTCCCAACGTGCCGGTGCCCTGAAGGATTTGATCCCATCGATGGTGTCAACTATTCGAGAGGATGCCAGAGAAAGGAGACTCTGAGATGCAGGAAAGAAGACAGCTTCGTGACCTTGCCAGCGATGAAGGCTCCTGATAAGTTCTTGTACTTGAGCAACAGAAGCTTTGACCAGTGCGCAGCCGAGTGCAGCAGAAACTGCTCGTGTGTAGCTTACGCTTACACCGGCTTGAGCCTAAGTGACAGTAATGGCGACACATCAAGGTGTTTGGTTTGGACTGGGGACCTCATTGACATGGAGAAGGCCAGCTTTGCTGATAACTTCTACCTCCGAGTTGCTGGATCTCCTGGTACGCGACCTTCCAGTCTATATGTTTCTTTCACCTGCAGCGACCTTTGTGCCTCAATTGTGTGGACACCACTAAAGTCTTTTTAGCAAGAGTGAGAATGCTCCAAAAACTTTTTAGGCTTTAGTTCTTTTTTATATCTAAATCCCAAACCCCCTTTCTAAAGAAGGCATTAAAGGCTAGAACTTAACAATAGACCGTACTTTATATTTAAGGCAAGCAGACATCAAATAAACCGTATCAACATACCATCTCTCGGACTTTATGATAGTGTTGATGGCATCAAATAGTAAAAAAAAATGGATTAGAAACTGCTAGATTTACTTGTAATCATTGCAGCAGCCCTAAACTTCATAAGAGCACGCATAAAGCAACTTGAACTTTTGCGCAGATACTGGAATAGAACACTTTGTAGTGGCAAATTATACATAACTATTCCTATAAAGAAACCCATCAGCAATGTGCAAGGGTAACTGTTTAGGGTGGTAAGTATGTCCTTGAGTGTTTGCAGATTGGTCTTTTTACTTGTATATAAGTTATTAGTCCAGGATCACTAGGCATGGTCCTTTCCAAGTAAACTTACGATGCTTGATGATGTAAATTCTGATGGATGTACCTTCATGTACAGTACAGAAGAAGAGCAATTTAAACAAGATTTTACTCCCGATAATAGCTTTTGTGCTGCTACTCACATTCACAGCCCTTGTCTGGACATGTAAAAGAAGAGGTACAAAGAAAAAGACCCCTTATTTTCAGAAATTTATTGTAGCCGTGTAAATGTTCAGGGGAAAAAATAGAGAATCCATTGACGTTTGTATGAGCAGGTAGACGACAAAAGAAGAAAGTTCAGAACAGAGTGATACTAGAATACTTGAGGTCTCCGGATGAAACGGGGGACAAGAATATAGAGTTCCCATTTATTAGCTTTGAAGACATTGTTGCAGCAACAGACCATTTCTCAGACTCAAATATGCTTGGGAAGGGAGGTTTTGGCAAAGTTTACAAGGTACTAGCAAGCTTTCACTTGAGAATGGTTCTCCGAAAAGTTTCACTTGATAATAACATTGATAGAAAATTATGTTATTTATCGTTTTCTAATGATGGAACCATGCAAGGGAGTGTTGGCTGGTACCAAGGAAGTAGCAGTCAAGAGACTTAGTAAGAGTTCTGTTCAAGGCATGGAGGAATTCAGAAATGAAGTTGTCTTGATTGCAAAACTGCAGCACAAGAACCTAGTTAAGCTTATTGGTTGCTGTATTCATGAAGATGAGAGGTTGTTGGTATATGAGTACTTGCCCAACAAAAGCTTGGATTACTTCCTCTTTGGTACATTCAATTGTCATATTTGTTAATAAAACCCGACAAATAAATATGTGTATGTGCCTAGTGATATGCCTTGTTTCATGTTATTCTCATCAGACTCGTCAAAAAAATCAATGCTTCAGTGGCCGACAAGGTTCAAGATAATCCAGGGGGTTGCTAGAGGAATCATGTATCTCCATCAGGACTCGAGACTGACTATAATCCATAGAGATCTTAAAGCAAGCAACATCTTGTTAGATAAGGAGATGAGCCCTAAGATATCAGATTTTGGCATGGCTAGGATATTCTTTGGTGAGCAGCTCCAAGCAAATACTAACCGAGTTGTAGGGACATAGTAAGAAACTCTTTTAGAATCAATTCTTTATATATAATTTATTTGCTCGCTGTTTTTAAGACTGCATACCTTTCATTGGAATAATTTACACAGTGGTTACATGGCTCCGGAATATGCGATGGAAGGTTCCTTTTCGGTCAAGTATGACACCTACAGCTTTGGTGTTCTACTGCTGGAAATTGTAAGTGGATTAAAGATCAGCTCACCACATCTTCTCATGGATTTCCCCAACCTTATAGTATATGTAAGTATCGTGATATGCTAAGAATTCAGAACTAAATACCCAGCGAACATACATATGTGGTCACTATGAAATTGTATGTGTGTATTCAGGCATGGAACTTGTGGAAAGATGGGAAAGTAGACCATCTGGTGGACTCATTTGTTGTGGAGAGTAGCTGCCCCCTTGATGAAGTTTCGCGATGCGTCCAAATAGTACTTTTGTGTGTACAAGATGATCCAAGCTCCAGGCCCTTCATGGCAGCGGTTGTGTCCATGCTGGAAAACAGAACTACGCCACTTCCAACACCAAAGCAACCTTCATATTTTGCACAAAGGAGTTACAAGCCCGGAAAGGCTGGAGACCACTGGGAGGTCTCCATGAATGAAATGAGCTTGACAGCACTTGAGGGTCGTTAGATGTTTAATCATATTTTACTCTGAATTTTCAGCGATTTGCAACAGTGACAATTGTAAATTTGTGCATGTGGTTGTTATATCTGTGGCTTGTTTTCTATAAGGTGTTTGCTGAATCCGTGGATGATGTAGAATTCTTTGTTGAAGTTAGCATTTGTGTTTTTGTTACAGAATAGGCTCGCAATCTTGAGCAATTTTGGGGGTCTTGCTTAATTCTGAACCTTTCTTCCCAGTCCTTGTATCTTATGGCAGCAGAAATTTGATCTTTTTCCATTTAGTAATGGGATGCGTCACAGGCACAGGCGCACAGCAGCAACAATTCTTTTTTACATTGTACTAGTAAATAAAACATGAAAAACAATCAGACTGAAAATAGATTAGCTTACCCTAGCAAGCTGTGACCTGTGAGAATGGAGCGCAGCGCCCCCCCGCCGCGTCTTCCTTCCATGACGACCTGGCAGCGCTTCCAACGGCAACCTCTGCGCATTCGCCCATGCCTTCTCCTCAGCGGACGACCGGCGGCCCCGCGACGGCGCCTCCGCGCCTCAATGGAAGCGGCAGCGGATGCTGTGTCGCCCGTCGCCCAGTTAGTTGGGCCTCGGATCTCCTCCCTTTGACGCCCAGTTTGCTGCGCCGGGCCCCGTCTCAAGTGTTTCTGGCCCACCTACTGGATACCTGCTTGGCCTTGTGAATATGTGATTCTTCTGCAGCTTCCATTTTTCCTTTTCTTCAATTTTTTACTAGTCTATTTTTCTTCAATATATTCTCAAGGTCTTTTACTGGATCCGAACTCAAACTCTCTTCAGTTCATCTTTTGCTTTGAAATCATGCTCAAGAACTTGAGAAAATATCGCGTCAGGTCCAAACTAGAATTGACCAGAGAGTCCATTTTCAGGAAAGAAAGCACATATTCGTCCGTCGTATCTTCAGTCCAAAGTACCTGTCACCTGACGAATAACTTAAACTAGTATGCAAAAAAGCAGTCCTCTAGTCACGCTCAACACTATTTCGGTCGAATTTCAAGACACACTAACTTAACGAGAACCACAATTGGCCACCTTGTGCAACCTATTTTCAAATTTTCAAGTCAGACTGGAACCCAACCAGGCAACCACACAGTCCATTCTTCAAGAACATGACCACAGTTCATTTTCAGGAAAGACAACATATAATCTCTTGAATTAACATGACATCAGTGCAAGGGCCATTGGATCCCTCTGACGTTCTTCTACAGCTCATTCGCTTCGTGAGCAGTGTTGTGTACTTAAACTGAATCATAACCCCCAACATATTTCTTTTCAGTTCCAACTTCCACGGGAACAAATATGAAATTGGGACAACCTTGTTCAGATCCAACTAAACTTAAAACTGCCTTAATTACAGGGTTAGTTTTGTGAAAGAAAACAAATGATCAATGGGTTCAGTTCCATGGCTGTTCATGACTCAATCACGAACTGAAGCAAAAGTCCAGCATTCTTCAGTCCGAACTTCCAAGAGCATGCACAGGAAATTGGTAACAAACTTTGTTCACATCCCACTTTGGTTGAAAACTGCATCACCTTCAAGGAGTATGAACACAACAGCAGATCAGTTTCAGGAACAATACATATTTTCAAGTGAGAAATAGCACAAATAAGACAAAAGTAAACATCAAGCATGTTTCTCATGTCACTTTCATTGTAAATTCGATCAAATTTGAAGACACAAACTTGAATTCTACAAGAAAGAGTGAATGGCCCTGTTCGCTTGAACTTATCAGCCATGGTACAGTGTTTTTCTCTCACAACAAATCAGCTGACAAAGACTTTTCAGCCCTGGCTTTTCAAATAAACGAACAGTGCCAATGACCAACCACAATCATTTTTCAGGAGGCAGAAACAAAAGCAAAAACATAATTAATATTGATGCGAGCCATGGTCATGAGCAAATTGATCAAATTTGTTAACAGAGTTTTTGAGAGATTCTCGATAGTGCCATAATGGCAAGAGATTGTGCATTGACAGTCCCCAGAGCATGAATTTGTTGGTTTGGTCTCTCAATCACTACTTCCCTCAATAGCATGAGCTGGCGACAAGACGCAAATCTCAAAGTTGGACTGCAAACCCGAATCCAGTACTACAAGCTACCAGTGTACTGCATCATCCATCCATACAGCATCCCTTTCAGGACCTGACCATATATGCAAAACCAAAGAGACATGCTAACAAAGAAAGGAGCAACAAGAACAGACATGACTGTGTCTACCATAGCATCTATATTTACTATACAGTGGTTTGGACTGATTACAGCAACGCAAAAGTCAGTAAGGAGAAGGCCCAAATGGAGCAGCACACCACGAATGCAGTACATGACAAGCATATATCTTCTGATCACTGGCAAATGCTTAGTGACACCACTAAGACAAAGTCAATTCAACACGTTCACCAAACAGCATTTGCAAGGTCTAATTCAAACTGTCCAGCGTTAAGAAAACATAATATCAAAACAAAGTCTTGTTAATCCTAAAGATTTTGTCCAAACCCCCACCACAAAACCAAGTCATTGATCCCAGAGAGTGAGAGAGTTGTCCACGACAGAACCCAAAGCATGCCATCTGCTGATCAGCAAACACCAGAACATACCTCACGCATAATTCAGAAGCCCTTGCACCAGCGACTAGAGTTTGTCATGCATTTGGAACACCTTCCCTTGGTTCCTCGCCTGTATAAGCCTCATCAATCACTGCAGAAATGCCAAAACAAATGAAATAGCATCAGATCAGGGGGGACAACCACGAGGATCAACAAGGTGTCGTTAATGGAAGGAAAAAAACACCGATAGCAACCTATACCAATACAGAGCATTACAAGTTCATTCAGATGGGTAGATGGGCATGGGCATGCTGTTCTTCAAAGGAAAACTTCTTTTAGGAAAACATACAATTGTTAATATTTAAAATTGTTGCTAATAAGTAACAGTTTTGTATTTACAGCTTAAACACTAACAATACATGTAGACTAGAAATTTACAATAAGCACAATGTACATGTGTTCATAGGGGTGAGTGTGCGTGCGTGTTGAGCATCTGCATCTGTACTTGTGTAATTCAACAACAAAAAAAGAAACAAAGGCAATAAGCTTATATACCCGGAATGCAGAAGCTCGTGTAGGGAAAGACATAACTATAACCCTCAAACACCTTCTTTATCTTCCCCGAATTGAGGTGGACCATGTAGACATCACCACGGTGATGAGCATATTTGTAGACAATCACAAATATGATATCTGCGCCCCACGGAGCCAGTCACATTAAACCGTGGCGTCAGCGTGTCTTTAGGGAGCAGCGTTTCAAGGTTGAAGGACCTGGCCTGTACCCATTGCTCAAATCCAGCGGGAACTTTCTCCGCTGACCACAGGCATAGGCTGAGAGGATCTTCCAACAAAGTGGTGAAATGAAATTCACCATCCGCCGTGGCCATGAGGGATGCTGACTGAGGATTTGCAGATCGCCGAAAGGCGATGGGTGGTTACTTGGTATTCAAAAGCGTGGTAGTTCCCACTGCCCCTGAAGTAGAGGGCGTCTCCTACGAGAACGCTCGGAGATGGCATGTTGTCGACGGAGTACAGATTGTGGCCTGGAGTAGAGGTTACGTATTTCCAATCATCCGTCTCAGAGGAGTACACGAGCGCGCATGTGCGAGTCGAGGTGCTGAAGAGGAAAACCACGCGGAAGGGGCCCCTGTGGCAGCCGCGGTGATCGCAGCCTTCAGCAGTGGCAGCGCAGAGTACCGCCGCGTTGAAATGGGGGCGGTCCGTGGAGCGGCCAGTGGATGGGGCCGTGGGGCGGGGAGAGGGCTGGGGCAGGCGGCGGCGCTCGTCCGTCAAAGGGTTCCAGACGATGAAGTCCAAAACCACCGGGAAGCCCCCGACTGGGGCTGGGGTGGCGAAGAGGGCGCGGCCGTGGCGGCAGTCGAGGGCGAGCCAGCCCGGGAGGTCGCGGGTGGCGGGACGGCGGAAGGTGGGGTCGATGGACTCGAAGCGGGAGCTGTAGGGTATGGCGTCGCTCACGATGCGGAGGAAGCCGGCGACGTGAGGCGTCGGGTGGAGCTCCCGGTGGCGGCAGCGGAAGTCGGGGTCGGCGAGCATGCGGCGCCAGCTCTTGCATACGACGGCGGCGCGGAGGAGGCACGCGGGGTCGTCGGGTGTGACGCGGAGGAGGATCACGCGGACGAGCTCGTCCGGCAGGTGAGCCATCGCCCCTGCCTGTGCTCTGCTTCGGGGAGATGGCTAGGGTTTTGGGATTGAGTGGATTGGGGGACTGGATTTGGGAGGGGAAAGTGAGGAGTGAGTGACGAAGAATTGAAGACGGTGGTGCACAGCACTGGTGCCTCCCAAGTCCCAACTGTGGTTCGAGTGGGGCCACCTGGTTGGCCACCACTACCAGGTTCTTCTCTGCTAAGTGGGGCCTCCCATGTTTCAAACGAAAGTGGGGCCTCCCACAAACCTTTCTTTGTTTATTTTTCTTTTCCCCTGTTATAATTGCTAGGACGATCGGCGCGTTTCGCCGCGCCCGTATTCAATCGACGTCGATTTGTTTATATTCAACATCACATTGCCATAGAAGACTTGGAGATATTGATGGACCAAAAGAGAGCAAGTTATATGCAGCAGATGCCAACCAAAACACGTGTCGCATATGAAAACGTTAGCACCTTTTAGTTAATATAAGAATTAATTTTTCTAAGGGCAACACAACAGCCAGTTTGCGGAAAAAGGATTATCATTTTTGTATGTGCCCAACAAATGAGATGAAAGTAAGTAAAACGTTACATTAGTTATAATAACAATCGTGTCCTAGGTACACGACGATCTTCCCACAAAAAATTACAACACAAAAAATCAGTTTGTGCATATATAGGCTATAAAGAGTGTTTGAGGTCGCTTGATCCCGTCACAGTTAGTTGCAGCATGGCGGCTCACCCTGCATGTCATCTGAAGGTTTTGCAAAAATGAGAAATTTCCTCCGGTCATATATAGTCCACTTAGTCTAAAGGGAGTAACAAATTTACTATCTTGTCAAAGAGTCATCAACCATGCATCGATGTAGTATAGTTTGGCCTGGCTAGAGGGAACTGCAAAAGGGAAAAGAAGTGGTGGTTGATTGAAACAAAAGAGATGGCAAAGAAGGAAATGTGTTATAACAGGTTAACTGAAGATGCAAAACTGAAAATTACAAAGACATTCATTTCCACCTCTGTTTACCACTGTTTTTTGGGCACATCCTCCAAAAACATCCAAACCTTTTTTGTGCACGCCTGAAACAACCAAACTAAGACCTTGCAAAGAAGAAAGAAATAAGATCCTAAGAAAAGGATTTTGGAGTATTTGTAAGTGGTTGGCTATAGACGTGGTAGGGGGAAGCAGGGATCTATGTTCATGAACTTGAGCATAGCAAGTGGACAGAGTGGCCAAGCTGAGAGACCGCTCTAAATCCGGCAATCCTAGAATAAGAAACCAGTTCAATCTTGGGGGAAATCAAGGAGGTAGAGGAAATTAGAAAACGAAGAGAAGAAATTGGAGTACCTAAGAGAGTGGGGAAGAGTTTGCTTCTGATGCGGTGCTTGGAGTACATCGATGTTGGTCGTCTGTGCTAGACGTTGAGGTAGACCGCCTGGGTGATGAACATGTAATTTTTAGACAACCATGGAGTTAAGCATGATCAATCAGAAACCAACAAACCCATGACTAATGCATCTGAAAAATGTAATGCTAATTTTGTATATGATCAAGATGCAAACACGTCTTCCAATCAGTGAAAGAGAATGAAAGGAGATGTTGATCTTGAAGAAGCGTATTAGATAAACACATGTTTGTGGCTTGACTATCTTATTGCAGCGAATGGAAGCAATATACCACTAAGATTAGCTGGGCACAAGGTCTTTGATGTTCACATGTACACTCTACATTGTTTCTCATGTTCTGTATTTAAGTACTTTATTTATGGACACAATGACGACTGTGTATTATGGGATACAAATAACTAAGTGCGAAAGCATAATGACGACTGTCTATAAGGGAAAGAATCAATGAAATTGATATGTACCTGCTCTGCAGAGCAACAGTTTCAAGGAGGTTAGATTTGCATACCATTTGCGTAATGTGTATCCCTGAAACGATATTTCCCTACAACATTGAAACTCATGAAGAAATCAGACAACGAAATACCATAGCAGCAAAGGTTACAGGTACAAAGGGATGAGTGCAGTACCTTCAATATGAGCACATCACAGGCAAAAAAAGGGAAACCCACTGGTGCGCTTGTGTTCCTGTGCATGAACCGCTGGAGAACAAAGGCATGTACATGTTCATTCCGTAAGCAAATCACCACAGTTATAAGCATAAAGGAAGAGTGAGATTTGTATTTGATATTCTCCATGTCACTTGTATTATGGATTCTGGTCTGATGTCTGGAACTGTACGAAGTCTATCTATATGCAGAAGTATCATCTATGTTCCAAATTGAATCAAACGCACACATGACCTGCAACAGGTTGTCTGATTTCAAAGAAAGAAAAGCCCCTGTATTAGGCCATTGCAACGTCAAACGAAACATCATCTTTTAATGTCTGCCAAGATATGTGTGTCCAAGTAAAATTACTACATATAAAAGTAAGCTATGTCTAAATTGTATGCATGTACGGGAACTTTGGAGGGTCATTCTTTATCTAATGTTTCAAGAATATGGTAAATGTCACCATCTGATAATGTTGTACTTCCCTTCGATGTTGAGTTTCAGTAGAGGTTGTGGTTAAGGTCATTTTTCTTTTAGCATCGGCGTGTCTATAACTTTTCAAACCAGTGTACTTGCCCCTCTTTTTTTCTCTTCTGCAAGATAATGATATGCAGTATGCCTGCAAGCTCTAGGAAAAAAAGGAATACTCTCCTTAAAAAAATTAATGCACATATCATTTACATGCTCACATAGTTTAGTTTCTCAGTGCTATGGTCAACTTGGTCTTGATGTGCACAAGACGCATGTAGTATGCAGGGAAAATCGCGTACGTGACCAGAGAGCATGGGATAGAAAAGAGTCTGGGATAGATAAGCTTGAAGCTGCGTACAATGTCCCTTCAAGGATTTGTTTGTTTAGATCCACGACAACTTGGACAGGCCGATCTCAAACTCACACTAAACAAAGCCCCCTTTCCAAAGAGGTTTATGTCATAGAAGATGCTGCTGCTGCTGCTGTCGGTGCTCTCGACAAAGCTGATAATGCACTGGGAACCACAAAATTTAACAGCTTGGCATCACTGTGAGTGCTTAATCTTTTTATTGGTTGGCCAATTATATATAAATTCACCGATGGGACTAGAGATTATCCAACCTTCGGCATGTTTCAGATCAGCATGCAGCCCAACTTTGCGCTGGATGATTTTGGTCACCAGATGGTTTTCTTGGGGAATTTGTTACTGGATACTTTGAAATTTGGAATCAACCTGTAATATGTGTTTTCAGCACTCTTTTCTTTCTTAATTAGTTGAATGGCAGGGCTCCTGCCATTTTTGTTCCAAAAAAAACTTTGTGTTTACTCTACTGACTCAAGTCATGCTTCCTGAAACTTGGTGATTATTTGGTTGTAATGTGCTATTTTCATGGTTGCAGGGAGGGCCCCACTTTTGATCTACTACTGCCTCAAGAAGAGTAGGGAGATAAGACAATGCTGCATTGCAAACGGTGTACAGTTAAATGCACTTTATGCTTCATTTGTGCTAAATCAATTGAAATCTGGAAATTAAGTATTAGTTAGCTGAAATGTACATTATCTTGCTTACATATGCAGTCTGCATCAGCTCTTGGACCAGCGGAGACACAATGCAACCGCTCATGAACCAAAATACTAACAGAGCAGCATCAAACCATTAGCAACTAGGCGGTTCTACCTAATGTAATGTAACATAGAGACTATCAAATATATAAAGGTACGATCTCAACTCCGAAGACATCCAGGCTGCAATCCAAGAACAATATCAGTTTACAGTAAACCTCCAAGACATCTCACCTTATGGCCCCGATTTTCTAATAAAAGCACCAACATCAGCGCCCTATGTCACAATGCTATCTGGAGGGTCTCTGAACATGACTACCTTCCACTTTGCTTTCGCCCTCGTCCTAATGCCATGGACAAAGGAATATGGCTCCACCATAATACCATTACAGAAACACATGCACTTCACTGCCAATCCAGTGCATCCACAGAATTCACCGCCACACAGTCCTACTAACATAAATGTGCAGATCGAAGTCACCGGCATCCCAGCTCACCTTTACAACAACACAGTAACCCAGCTGCTAGGAGATTCCTTCCAAATTGATTGCATTACCTTTATACACTACACATGCTTTGTTGAGGGCCACACAACAAACCTTGGGGATATTCCATACAACGCTACGTTGGGTGTCAAAAAGAGTACACAGCAAGGAAATCTTCTCACTGCATGGCCAGTATGGTATAAATTCATAGAGATGTTTCCCTTCCGCGACGAAGATCTAGAAAGCCCACAGCTTCCTCCAGTACCAGAAGAAGGTAACTAAAATTGTACCTAGATCTCGGAGTAAATTTGCGATTCCAATGGTTGTATTACTCAAGACTTTAATCAACATTGTGAGTTTCATCTGCTAACCCATCTTGGCTTCTCAAAACCAGATAGAGGTGTTGACTGCAACGACAAAATTCTAGCAGACTACGGCGAGCGTGACGGAGACATTTCTACGACAACAACAACAAATCCTTTTAAGTCCTAAATAAATTGGGGTACGCTAGAGTTGAAACCCAACAGAAACAATCAAGGTTCAGACACGTAAAAAGCTATTTTCCAAGCACTTCTATCTAAGGCTAAATCTTTGGGTATATTTCATCATTTTAAATCTCCTTTTATTGTCTCTACCCAAGTCAACTTCGGTCTTCCTCTGCCTCTCTTCACGTTATTATCCTAGCTTAGAATTCCACTATGCACTGGTGCCTTTCAAGGTCTCCGTTGGACATGTCCAAACCATCTCAACCGGTGTTGGACAAGTTTTTCTTTAATTGGTGCTACCCCTAATCTATCACGTATATCATCATTCTGAACTCGATCCCTTCTTGTATGACCGCAAATTCAACGTAACATATGCATTTTCGCTACACTTATCTGTTCAACATGTCGTCTTTTCGTAGGCCAACATTCTGCACCATACAACATAGCAGGTCTAATCGTCGTCCTATAAAACTTTCCTTTAGCTTATGTGGTACCCTTTTATCACATAGGACACTAGATGCTTGGCGCCACTTCATCCACCCTACTTTGATTATATGGCTAACATCTTCATCAATATCTTCGTCTCTCTGTAGCATTGAACATAAATATTAAAAGGTATCCTTTCTAGGCACTACTTGATCTTCTAAACTAATATCTTCCTCCTCCGAGTAGTAGTGTTGAAGTCACATCTTATATACTCAGTTTTAGTTCTACTGAGTTTAAAACATTTGGACTCCAAAGTCTCCCACCATAACTCCGGTTTCTGATTCATTCATGTCCGGCTTTCATCAACTAGCACTACATCGTCCACGAAAAACATACACCAAGGAATGTCTCCTTGTATGTCCCTCGTGACCTCATCCATTACTAAAGTAAATAGATAAGGGCTCAAAGCTGACCCTTGATGTAGTCCTATCCTAATCAAGAAGTCATTCATGTCTCCATCACTTGTTCGAACACTAGTCATAATATTGTTGTACATGTCTTTAATGAGCCCAACGTACTTCGTTGGGACTTTATGTTTGTCCAAAGCCCACCACATAACATTCCTTGGTATTTTATCATAAGTTTTCTCCAAATCAATAAAAATCATGTGTAGGTCCTTCTTCTTCTCCCTATACTGCTCCATAACTTGTCTTATTAAAAAAATGACTTCCATGGTTGATCTTCCGGGCATGAAACCAAATTAGTTCATAGAGACCCGCGTTATTGCTCTCAAGCGATGCTCGATAACTCTCTCCCATAGCTTCATAGTATGGCTCATCAACTTAATTCCTCGGTAATTAGTACAACTTTGAATATCCCCTTTATTCTTATAGATCGGTACCAATATACTTCTCCTCCACTCGTTAGACATCTTGTTCGATCAAAAAATATGGTTGAACAGCTTGGTTAGCCATACTATAGCTATGTCCCCGAGGCATCTCCACACCTCGATTAGGATATCATCCGGTCCCATCGCCTTACCTCCTTTTATCCTTTTCAACGCCTCTCTAACCTTAGATTCTTAGATTCTCCGCACAAAGCGCCTATTGATGTCACCAAAAGAGTCATCCAACTGAAAGGTTATGTCCGTATTCTCATCATTGAACAATTTGTCAAAATACTCTTGCCATCGATGTCGGATTTCATCCTCCTTCACCAAGAGATGCACCTTTTCATCCTTAATGCACTTAACTTGGTTGAAGTCCCTTGTATTTCTCTCATGAACCCTAGCCATCCTATAAATGTCCTTCTCTCCTTCCTTCGTACTCAAATGTTGGTAAAGATCCTCGTACGCTCTACCCTTTGCCACACTTACAGCTCGCTTTGCAGTCTTCTTTGTCACCTTATACTTCTCTATGTTGTTCATATTTCTGTCATGGTACAAGCATCTATAGCATTCTTTCTTCTCCTTAATAGTCCTTTGGACTTTCTCGTTCCACCAGCAAGTATCTTTAGCCTCGCCTTCACTTCCTTTGGTTACTCCACACACCTCTGAGGTCACCTTTCGAATGTTGGTTGCCATCTTCTCCCACATGTTATTTATGTCCTCTTCTTCCTTCAAAGAGCCCTCTTTGATAACCCTTTTCTTGAATACCTCTGACGTCTACCCTTTCAGTTTCTATCACTTTGTTCTTTCAATCTTAGCTTGTTTATCCCTACGGGCACGCACCTGAAAATGAAAGTCTGCCACCAAAAGTTTATGTTGAGAAACAATACACTCCCCTGGTATCTCCTTGTAACCCAAGCATGCTCGTTTGTCCTTTCTTCTTGCGAGGACAAAGTCAATCTGGCTAGAGTGTTATCCGCTACTGAAGGTCACTAGATGAGATTCTCTCGTTCTAAAGAAAGTATTGGCTATCATCAGGTCAAAAGCTACCACGAAGTCCAGAACTTCCTTCCCCTCCTGATTCCTACTACCATACTAAAAACCTACATGTCCATTAAGATCTCCTATAAAAAGCTTTTCACTACTAGGTACAGCTCTAATCAGACCATCTAAGTCTTCCTAGAACTGTCTCTTAGCACTCTCGTCGAGGCCTACTTGGGGGCATACGCACTAATTACGTTCAAGACCATATCACCAATAACAAGCTTGACTAAGATAATCCTATCTCCTTGCCTTCTCACTCCCACCACACCATTCTTGAGGCTCTTATCGATCAAAACCCCTACTCTATTTCTATTCGCGAATGTCCCTGTGTACCAAAACTTGGAACCTGTATTATCTATCTTCTTCGTCTTCAGACCCTTCTATTTAGTCTCTTGAACGCATAATATATTTACACGCCTCCTAGTCGCGGTATCAACTAATTCTCTTAACTTACCTGTAAGCGACCCTATATTTCAACTACCTAAACGGATCATAGTTGGCTCGACTAGCTTCTTTACCATTCGCATCCGTCGACTCAGATGTGAAGACCCTTACTCATTTTCACTACACCCAGGCGCCGATGTAGCGCGCCACTAAGGAAGCGACAACCCGATCCTTGCTCACTTGGCACCATGTCCAGATCGCGACACGGCGCGTCACCACGGGGATGCCGACCCAGCTCTTGCCCATTTAACACCATACCTGGGTTCCGATATAGCGCGTCGCTAAGAGGGTTACGCCCCAACAGTTTTCTTTCGGGTTTCATCTCCATTAAAATGGTTAGATTTAACGTTGGCTCGCCACGCCTATCACAATCCTCCTCCTTTATCGGAGCTTGGGACCTGCTATGTTGAGGCAACGTGGGCGGAGTTTAAATAGACGTGGCTTTTACTGCTCTTTGATATGCTAAGATAAAACTAACCCAGACTATAATTGAGACTACATACTCAGTCTCACACTTATGTTACATATCCGGATACAGTCACCACACTGAATACATGTGCCGCTACAAGGACTCATGCATATTCTTTATCCATTTACATTACTTACTACTATGTACCGATTCCCAAAGAAAATACTATTAACAGACTCAATTTTACTAACAAATTAATCCACCAACGCCAGCTGATCTTCCATGGACGTAGATGCTCCAGGCCACCGACTAAGCTTCTGAAATCATAATCAATGTCCATGTGCCAAATATGTATAATTATTGTACCAGACACTCTGTATGTAAACCAATGTGCCACTACTACCTACGGCATCGCACAATGTCGAAAACTATCGGGTACCAGCTGTACCTGTGCCACTTATTAACTATCATGATGTGTATAATTAGGCTACTACTGCAGCCGTAAGACTCATCTATGTAATATTAGAACGACCTGCCTAATGATTAGTGCCTAATCTATCATGTTAAATATTTGTTCATACGAGGCTATCTCCAACAACAACACTCAAAATATAAGACATATTCATTCTTTGGTAGCGCTACAGATAAAAGGTTCGATATCTATTCGATATCTTCTCCAACAACAAAACCCCAAAAAGAATCTTTTCTGCAAATGAGTTTTCAGGAGAGATGATGTCTATATTTGGGTCGTGACTCTCATGCAACCTAAAATAGGTCTTTCGTATAGGTACTCTGTTGAAGACTGATTTTGAATATCTTGCTACACATTTTAGGTTTATGTGACCATATAGATTCATTGCTGGAGACAGTCTGAGACTGAATCTTCATGCATGAATCCAACCGCATCTCCAATCAACCCAATCTCCAAGATCGTACGCATCCCACCACATCTCTAATCAACCCAATCTCTAAGATCATACGTAAGGATGGCAATAGATCGGGTTTGGGGTGGATATCCGCGGATTTCGGGTTCTGCGGGTTCGGGTTTGGGGATGGTTTTTCACCCACGGTTTTCGGGTTCGGGGCCCCGAAACCAATCGGGTTCGGTTTCGGGTTTGGTTTTCCACCCGTGGATATCCGAAATAAATCATTTGGAATTAAAACTCATGTTTTATAATATACTAATAATAATTTGTTTACTTAGATTATTAAATTTATTTAAAGTTGACTCATGAAAATATTTATTATTTGTTGCCTCTTATTTATACATGTGAATATGTGTATATATATCCGCGGATTTCGGGTATCCATTCGGGTTTCGGGTATCCATTCGGGTTTTGGGTATCCGTGGGTTTGGTTTTGGTGATGGATTTTCACCCGAATCGGTTTTCGGGGCGGATTCGGGTTTTGATTTTCGAGTTTCAGTTTTGGGTGCACGGAGACTCCACCCGATCCGAACCCGACCCGTTGCCATCCTTAATCGTACGCGATGGCGCGCGCCCTTCTACTAGGGCGGTGTTTAGTTCCCCCAAACTCCCAACTTTGGCACTATGCAAAAAGAAGATTTTCCGTCACATCAAACTTGCGGTACATGTATGGAGTACTAAATGTAAATGAAATAAAAAACTAATTGCACGGTTTGGTTGAATTTTGCGAGACGAATCTTTTGAACCTAATTAGTCAATGTTTGGACAATAGTCTACAAATACAAACGAAATTGCTACAGTATTTGCCGTCACATCAAACACTGTGCAAATACGGATTCCGGCCGAACTAAAGGGCTAGTATATTTTATTGGAAATGCTGTTTATAAAATACCATTTTAAAAGGTTATTAAAATAAAAATACCACGTACGCGAACGACCTCCGGGGCTCTCCGGTCCTCTGCTGCCGCCGTCGAACCAAACAGGTAGCCGCAGAAGAGGCACTCGCACTGCGCACTGGCATCCCAAAAAAATAAAAAAAAATGTGGTGCTGGCTCTTCCGACTTCCCCTCTGAATCCCCAAATTCCAAACCCTCGCCTCGATTTCTTCGATCCACCGAGCGACGACAACCATGCCGCCGCCGCCGCCGCCGCCGCCGCCCGAGCTGGCGGACGACCTCCTCCGCCAGGTATTCCTCCGCCTCCAGCCGGACGACCCCGCGTGCCTCCTCCACGTCTCCCTCGCCTGCAAGCGCTGGCACCGCATCCTCACCGACCCCGCCTTCCGCCGCCGCCACCGGGAGCTCCACCGGATGCCATCACTCGTGGGGTTCCTGCGCATCGCGGAGGAAGACCCTCCGTACGCGTCCTGCTTCGTCCCTAACAACCCCGCCTCCGGTTGCCCCGCCGCCCGTGACCTCCCGGGGCGGCTCGTGCTCGACTGCCGCCACGGCCGCGTCCTCTTCGTCGCGCCGAGCCCAAGCCTCGGCACTCAGCTAAACTATGACATCATCATGTGGGACCCCTTGACGAACGAGGAGCGCTGCTTGCCCCGGCTCTCGCCCTCACCCACGGTCATATGCGGCCGCCACTTCAACGCCGCGGTGCTCTGCTCCGCCCCTGCGGAAGGCTGCGACCACAGCAAATGCCACGGTGGCCCCTTCCGCGTGGCCTTCGTCTGGAGTCGCACCTTTGGCGATTTACATTCATTTCTCACGTCTGCTCGTGTGTACTCCTCGGAGACGGGCAATTGGAGCGAGCCCATCTCTGTTGAGCATCCTAATGTGTTCGTCCTTGACAGGATGCCATGCACCAGCACCCTTGTGGGAGACACTCTCTACTTCCGCTTTGGCTTTGTGCATGCTTTGGAGTACCAGCTTGGCGCACAGTGCTTATCTGTCATCCTTGGACCTCCACAGTCGGTATTCCAAAGTTGCGCTATTTCCCTCGTGTCCATGGAGGACGGTGGGCTAGGATGCATGGACGTGGAGGAGGATGAATCAAGCCTCCGTCTACGACTGTGGTCAAGGGATGCAGCTTCACGCTGTGATGGAGATGCAGGATGGACAAGGGGCAGGGCCATAGAGCTTGAGAAACTGCTACCTGATGGTGCCCTCCCATCTCCACGGTTGGCATATGATCTGCGTTCCAGGGTTCCGAGTATACAGTTGCTTGGCTTTGTGGAGGGCACCGATGTCATCTTTGTGGGTACGCAGGCTCTTAACCACCCTCATGCTGTCTATATGGTCCAATTCAACTCAGGGAGGGCCAGGAAGGTGTTTGACCAATGCACTTTAGTCATTCCCTATACAAGCTTCTTCATTCCAGGTATAATATATGCAGCTACATACCTACTTATATCTATGTGTGCTATTGCTTGTTAACTTTACATCCTTTATTAGTTATATACGATCTGTTATTAGTGTCTTCTAGACTGCAACTAATAGTATGTTAGCTAGCAACAAGCCTGCATATATGAATATAATATCAGCGCTCAAGAAAAATAGTTGATGCCACTGTGGTTGCTTTTGGATTAGTAAACATTTGTAATTCTCTCTGTTAGTAGCAGCTTCGTTGTACAATGTTGTTTCTACTGAGGTTATTAATGTCTTCTCTCTGTTGTTTATTGGCAATGCATTCATCACCCTGCTGATTTTGTTCTCAATTCTTTTTTGCATTTCTGCAGTAACTGGCGCGTCTTCTATAACTGAGGGGCCAGGAGACGACGTTTCACGTGCATGACAATCTCAAGCTGCTAGTGCATGGGCTTCTTAATCAACCAGGAAGCATATCATGATGTTTGCAAGTTGCGTTTCTGAGCTTATGCATGGGGATGTGTTTTTAGGACATGCCAGTTCATTTTGTCTTGGGACTTCCTGATTGGTGGGGGCTTGGAACTATTTTAGACTCGTAGGATTTTACGGTGCGATTGTGTCTCTTTTCTTGACTTTTGGACAATGTGAATTGAGCTGTGCTGTAGCAGTGACTTCAGGGCTGCATCGGCTATCTGAAGACGTGAGCAAGTACTGGAAATCAGAGTTTTGCATACCTCATCATTTGTGCAGCTGCTGTGTTAAACACTTAAGTGCGTGACTTCTGATTTCTTCTTAACTTGCTGTAAGCAGTCAAATATACAGGCAGTACAGGTGTATCTACCTGAGTTGGCTGCCCTAGATGTCAGTTGTGCATCCAAACTTTGTTAGTCCTGTGCTTTTCCACGAACACTGCAACTGTGAGTGCATTCTATGTTGCTATAAGGTGAGATTATAATGCCTGTTGTGGACATGTTCGCACATGACCTATCGTTTGCTCCATTGGTAACATTACTAGCAAATTCAAGGCATGTGGTTGTGTTTGCATATTCTGATTGATCCTTTTCATCAACCTGGATTCCCTGTGGTTCTGTTGTCTTTTACTTCTATTTTTGGTTTGGATTCACATTCATTGTCTGATCCGATGTGGATTAAGGTTTTCCACCTTTCAGATTTGTGACCTGTTGGAATCTCATGCCGCTGAGGTAGAACCAACAAATTTATGATACGTGAATGGTTGATAATCAATCTCTTGCGCCATCTCAAAACAGTTTTATATTGCTGTTGGGCCACATAAATAGTTATATATATTCATAGTTCTTCAATACATAATCAATTTCATCGTGACCATGAGCCATGGGATTCCGTTTTTCTGTCATATTTAATATTATCGTTGAGCTGAGGTTGGACAGAGCCACTTTGAGCTGAGCATATGCGTGCACTTCGCTGAAATTGGACTCCAGGTCTAGTAGAACTTTCTTGTGGACATATTTGCTGAAAATTGGAACTGACGAATGTCGGGGTTGTAATTCAGTTTACCTGCAAAGTTTTTTATTATTTTTGAAAGGATTTGCAAAGGTTGCGCGCAGGCCTAGTGCAGGAACCGGAGAACATGCTGAAAGCAGATGGAACTCAAATCCGTAGCTACAACTAGAAAAATTGGCGTGGCTTTTGCCAAGAAAATCATATGCAGTAGTTTCAGGATGTGTTTTACTTTTTAAATAATTAATTAATAAATGCTCACGTGTCATGGATTGATGGTGTCTTCTCTCTTCATCTAATTGCAGGGCTAATCATACTAGTTTTGGCTACGTTGATGATTGTTGGCTTGTTGCAAGAGTTGATTGCAAGGATGCCGCTATGAGGGTGAAAGATTCACCCAGTACAGAGTTTATGGCTGCCAGACAACTGTTTACATGGAGTGGATTTGTACATGTAGCATGAAATTCGTCTGATGTCCTGACAGTAGATTTGTAGGTTTGACTAGCTAGAACATGTGCCGTAATGTTTAGCTTCCTGTCAATCTTGAAGATTTTTCCATCATTTGCTGAGATGATGTTGATGAAGCTCTGTGTGAATAGCTTGATGTCCCACTGAGGAGGATTTGTATGATCCTTCCCATTGAAGAAGTTAACAAGCAGCTGATTGTCTGATAGGAAGAAGGGTTGATGCACATGAAGTGCATTGAGTAACTGAGCTCCGAGTGCTAAAGCTGCTGCTTCAGCCATTAACACGGAGTTGCATCCTCTTTGCTTTGCTTTAATAAAGATGGTCGATGCAGCACCTGGCAGGTTGTTTACGATGAATATTCCCAATCCTGCTGAACTTGAAACCTGCAAAAGATTGTCTGGAGCAATGGATGCATCAGTGTAGCATCTTGTGCCGGGGAGAATAGCTGGCATCAAAGCTTTGTAGTGAGGTGGTCCTGGTAGGCTCAGCATTAGGACAGAGTGCTGCTGATCTTCACCGCGATTCCTCCTTTCTTGTATGTTACCTGGAAAAGAAGAATTCATACCTTGTTGCATGGCTGCACTACATACTTGGGTAGAATGAATGTTTTGAGAGTTTTGAGAGCCATTGCTCTCCCTCCCTTGATCTGTTGTCCCTGTATTGGAGAAGTTCTCATTGTCTTTCTGATTAGATCAGTAGCATCATCGTCTATAGTTGATGTTATCTTGATGTCTGCAGCAACCGCATAGTGTACCTGCAAAATAGACCATTTTTTATTTTGAAAGCGAGTGTCATTTCTCGCTTTCCAGATGTACACCAGTGTGCTATTAGAATTTTGTGGAGCTCCTCATCTGTAGTGCTTGGAGTTATAATTATTGAAATAATTTCTTGAACTCCATCTTGTTCTTGTGGTAACCTGGAGGTGATTAGTGGTGGCGACTTTGGTTATGTAGTTGGATATATGTAATGGATTTATGCCTGACAAAATGCTTTGACTGCACTTCGAGGAGTCAATTAATTTTAAATTGCACTATGAAAACACAATTGCTTATGATACCAGATAGATATCATTAGAATAATCATGCCATATAATACCTTCGTCCCTAAAAGAATGTAACTATGGGCTGCGTGCCACAAAAAGTGGTTCATGTTTGACTAAGTTTCTAGTGAATGATATTCACATTTATAGCTCTAAATTAATTTATTATGAAAATACATTTCGTAATTAATCTAATGGTATTAATTTGATACTATAAATATTTATAATTTTTTATCTATAATTGGTCAAACTTGATATACTAAAATACAACATTGTTTCAGAGTTGCTTTTTTTTGGGGGGACGGAGGTAATATTTTCATAGTAAACATGTTATATATAGAAATACAAATGTTAATATTTTTTCCTATAAATTCAGTCAAATTTGAGATTGGTTGACTTCCCAAAGTGCTAGATGTGCACTTATTTTCGGACGGAGGGTATTCATTAAGCATAGTTGGATTATTTTCTTTGCTAAAGAACAAGAAAATGAAGATGTGTGTATGCTAACAGTACCATGAACTCTAATCGTTTCTAGACCTAAATATGTTTAGCATGCCATTGTTTTTTCCTTATCTTGATTGGAGACCAGCATATGAATTGAGATTATAGTTTGAAATACATGAGCAATCTTTCTTGAACGAGTTAATTAAACTTTATGTTACAAATGGTCAAATACCATAAATGCGAGGCATTGTTTCGCTCGGAGCAAAGGCATGGAGTCCAAACGTGCCGAAAGGATCACAGTCGCGCTCGCCTTCCGTCTTCCTCCTGCTCCCTGATCCCCCCTCCGAATCCCCAGATCCCCAAATCTCAAAACCCTCGTCGCCTCCTTTCTTCGATCCACCGAGCGACCCCAACCATGCCGCCGCCGCCGCCACCCGAGCTGGCGGACGACCTCCTCGGCGAGGTATTCCTCCGCCTCCCGCCAGACGACCCCGCATGCCTCCTCCGCGCCTCCCTCGTCTGCAAGCGCTGGCGCCGCATCCTCGCCGACCCCGCGTTCCGTCACCGCCACCGGGAGCTCCACCGGACGCCATCAGTCGTGGGGTTCCTCCGCAACGCGGAGGGAGTCGCGCCGTACGCGTCCCGCTTCGTCCCCAACAACCCCGCCTCCGGCCGCCCCGCCGCCCGTGACCTCCCGGGGCGGGTCGTGCTCGATTGCCGCCACGGCCGCGTCCTCTTCCTCGCGCCGAGCCCAAGCCTCTGCATCCAGCTAAACTATGACCTTATCGTCTGGGACCCCTTGACGAACGAGCAGCGCTGCCTGCCCCGGTCCTCGCCCCCACCCAACGACGTATCATGCAACGCCGCTGTGCTCTGCGCCGCCGCGGAAGGCTGCGACCACCGCAAATGCCACGGAGGGCCCTTCCATGTGGCCTTTATCTGGCGTCACGGCCTTGTCATGTATGCTCGTGTGTACTCCTCGGAGAGGCACAATTGGAGTGAGGTGATCTCTGTTCAGGAGCTCTCTCGAATCTTGCATCCCATGTCGCCATGCTGCATCACCCTTGTGGGAGACACTCTATACTTCCACTACACCTTGAAGTATGCCTTGGAGTACCAGCTTGGTGCACAGCTCTTATCTATCATCGAAGGGCCTCCACGGCCGGTGTCCCGAATTTGGGCCATTTTCGTGATGCCCATGGGGGACAGTGGGCTGGGATGCATGGACATCGAGGAGGACGAATCAAGCCTCCATCTACAACTATGGTCAAGGCAAGCAGCTTCAGACAGTGATGAAGTTGCACGATGGACAAGGGGCAGGGCCATAGATCTTTAGGAACTGCTACCTGATGGTGCCCTACGATCTCCACGGTGGACGTCTGTTCCCCGCAGGTTACCGAGTGTACGATTGCTTGGCTTTGCGGAGGGCACCGATGTCATCTTTGTGGGCACATGGGCTCGTAACCACCCCAACCCTCATGCTGTCTATATGGTCCAACTCAATTCAGGGAGGGCCAGGAAGGTGCTTGACCAATGCACTTTCGTCGTTCCGTATACAAGCTTCTGCATTCCAGGTATACTATATGCAGCTAAATACCTACTTATATCTTTGTGTGCTACTGCTTTGTTAACTTTACATCCTTTATAATATATGATTTGCTATTAATGTCTTCTAGACTGCAAGTAATATTACGTCAGTTAGCGACAAGCCCGCATACATGAATATAATATCAGTGCTCAAGAATGATTTGTTATTAATGTCTTCTAGACTGCAAGTAATAGTATGTCAGTTAGCAACAAGCCTGCATATATGAAGGTAATATCAGCGCTCAAGAAACATTGTTGATGCCAGTATGCCACTGTGGTTGTTTTTGGATTAGTAAACATTTCTAAAGTTGCCAGTGAGGCTTATGAGCAATGCATTCGTCACCCTGCTGATTTTGTTCTCAATTCTTTTTTTGCATTTCTGCAGTAACTGATGCGTCTTCTACAACCGAGGGGCCAGGAGATGACGTTTCACGGGCATGACAATCTCAAGCTGCTTGTTGTTGGGCTTCTGAATCAAACCAGGAAGCGTATCTTGATTTTGCAAGTTGTGTTTCTGAGTTTATGCAGTGGAATGAGTTTTTAGGACTGAGTTCATTTTGTTGCGAGACAACTTATCAGGACTTCCTGATTTTCTGGTGGGGGCCGGGAAATATTTTAAATTCGTCGGATTTTGCGGTGGGATTACACCTGTTTTCTTGCCTTATGAACCATATGAATTTAGCTGTGTTGCAGCATTGACTTCAGGGCTGCAAAAGTTATCTAAATTCGTGAACTGGTATTGGAAATCTGAGTTTTTGCATACCTCATTTGTGTAGCTGCTGTGTTGGACACTTAAGCGCAGGACTTTCGATTTCTGCCCACCTTGCTGTAAGTAGTCAAAACAATCTGATGGATACACAGGTGTTATGTATCTACCTGAGTTCATATGAATTTAGCTGTGTTGCAGCATTGACTTCAGGGCTGCATCAGTTATCTAAATTCGTGAACTGGTATTGGAAATCTGAGTTTTTGCATACCTCATTTGTGTAGCTGCTGTGTTGGACACTTAAGTGCATGACTTTCGATTTCTGCCCACTTTGTTGTAAGTAGTCTAAACAATCTGATGGATACACAGGTGTTATGTATCTACCTGAGTTAGCTGCCCTAGATGTTAGTTGTGCATCTGAACTTTATAAGTCCCATGGTAAATTCCGAGACGAAAAACACTGCAACTGAGACGGCGTCCTATGTTGTTATAAGGTGAGATTATATTGCCTGCTGTGGACATGTATGCACATGACCTATCGTTTGTTCCATCTGTAACATTACTCGAGGTTTGGGACATGTGGTTGTGTTTGCATATTCTGATTGATCCTTTCCATGAACCTGTATTCTCTGTGATCCTACTATTCTTTTTTCTCGTTTTGGTTTGGTTTCACATTCATTGTCAGATCCCGAATTCTGTACGCATGGTATTAACGTTTTTCAGCTCTCAGATTTGTGTCCTGTTGGAATCTCATGCTGCCAAGGTTGAAAATCCAAACCAACAAATTTATGATCTGTGGTGACTGGTTGATGATCAATCTCGTGCACAATCTCAAATCAGTTGTATATGGCCGTTGGGTCACATAAATAGTTATATAATAAATTCATAGTTCTTCACTACATGATCAATTTCAATGTGACCATGAGTCGTGGGTCACATTTTGTACTCGTCCATTCCAAATTGTGAGACATTTTGGCATATGTTCCAAATCGTGTATGTCAAGCATGAACCAAAAATAGATTGGCTAAAAACAAGCATAAACTGAACCATAGTTTTTTAGTTGGGATCTGGAGAATTCAACCAGGGTAACCATAACAGATCAAGATGGGTTTCTCTGCTCTTAAACTACCCAACTACTAGCAACGAGATACTCCCTCCGTTCAAAAATGGTAATCGTGCTATACTAGAGAAAGAGTCATACAAAATATATTGTTTTTCTAGGCCTTAGCCTTCGAACACCAGGTTGCTGCACGAGCGAGTCGATCGGGACGAACGCAATAGCGAACACGGGGGTGGAAAGAACGAGATCAGTATATTCACTATAGAATGTTCTCTCCGCTTACAATTTCTGCCTCAGGGGCTATTTATACATGCCCATAGACTTCTTGTGGACAAAACTAGCTCTGCAACCACTACATATTCGAGGTATATTCTCGCCCCCCGAGGTCTTGCTCGCCCTTTTGGAGATGTCGCCGGTCCTCAAGTCGCCTTGTGGTCCTCCGCACTGTGTCGCCTTTTTGTTTACCAGTGCAGCCCCCCAACGGACCGACGTTGTCGACCCCTTGTCTCCAGGCGAACTCCTCTCCGGGCGAAAACCTGCAAAGTCAAGTCAGCCACACAATCTAATATCAACTATCCGCCCAGGCGAAAGGGCGGGGCCGACCGGATCAGGCGAGAGTTATCAGCCTCCTGCCGATACAGCGGGCTCCTTTACGAACGAACCTCGCGGGACTGATCGCCCAGGCGAGCGGCGTCTATTCACGTGAGCGAATAGTTCGGGCCGCTCCGCCGCATTGGTACGCTGTATTCGCTACGACGAAGAGACCAACCCTGGGTCGATTGGGTTGTCATCGCATCGCCATAGCGAAACGACTGAGCCGTGCGTAGATCGAGCGTGGAGCCACCGCACGGGGCACTCTCTATTCGCCCCAACGAAACGATGGTGCCATGTTGCGGGCTTTTTTCCCCGACGTCAATACGCGTCCATCATTTTCATCGGTGCGAAACATTGACTACGCCCGACAAGAGGGGGAAGGAGATGTCTGAGCCTCCTGGGGGTGCCCACAGGTTAAGCCTCCCCCTAACATATATTTTGACCATTTTTTTCCTCTTATGATGTATAAAGTTGACAGCTTGAAAATCAATATCATCTTATAGGCACTTTTAATACAAATTTATTGATGCAAGTCTTGTGGTCTAAACTTTCATACAATTTGACTAATTGTTGGTCAAAATTTATAAAGTTTGACTTATCCTCTGGTCAAATATGACGACCATTTTTGAACAGAGGGAATCTGGGATTTACCCAACTACTAGTAACGAGATACTTTAAAGCAAATTTGAGGGCCAAGTAGTGGCCATACTGGACATTGTTTTTTTTTGTTTGCTCCGACTTTAAAAATAAGTTTTAGTGTATAAGTAGGGGTGCTGCTAGAGTTGCTCTTATAGCCTGTTTGGCATAGTTTTACATTCATTTTTAGCTCTAACTCCTTGATTCTTTGACGGAGGAGCGGAGTGGAGAGGAGAGGAGAATTGATTCTAGAGTGATTTTGGTGAGGATTGAATAAAAAACTATGATGACCGGGTTTTTTTAGCTCCTAACTCAGTGTAAATGAAAAATAATCCGTATTTGCTTTCTATCAGATTCTATGTGATTTTTTATTATTTTAATTGAGCGAAAAACTGTGTCATGTGTCAAACGGCCAATCCAAACATGCCCCTGACTCCTGACTCGTGAGGCCTAGTTGGTCGAACCCAACCATGTAGCAGCAGCAGTACAGCAGTAGCGCCAGGCCCAGCCCACTTCGCAGCTCGCTCTTTCGTCTTCCCCTTCCCAAATAAGGCCCCGTTTGGCGGGCTTTCCAGTGAGCTTGGAGTTGCCGGGGCCGTTTTACTGCTAAAACGGGATAAAATAAACGACTCCAATCACCGATGAAGCCCTTTAAAACGTGCTTCCACAGAGCTTTGGGGTGGGAAGGAGCCAAAAATAGTGGCTTCTCCGGCTCCTCCTCCGCGCCCTAAAACACGCTCTCTCACGCGGGAAGCCATTTTGCCAAACGGTTTACTTAAAACCGCTTCACCCACCGGTGAAAATTGTTCGTTACGTGAGCCAAAAAAAAATAGCTTCACTGGTGAAGTGAAGCCCTGCCAAACGGTGCCTAAATCACCGGACCCCCAAAATTCCCGAACCCTCGCCTCACTTTCTTCGATCCCCAAATCCACAGATCAACCATGCCGCCGCCGCCGCCGCCCGAGCTCTCGGACGACCTCCTCGGCGAGGCATTCCTCCGCCTCCCGCCGGACGACCCCGCGTGCCTCCTCCGCGCCTCCCTCGCCTGCAAGCGCTGGCGCCGCATCCTCGCCGACCCCGCCTTCCGCCGCCGCCACCGGGAGCTCCACCGGACGCCATCAGTCGTGGGGTTCCTCGGCTTCTCCGGGGACTACGCGTCCCGCTTCGTCCCCAACAACCCCGCCTCCGGGCGCCCCGCCTCCCGTGACCTCCCGGGGCGTTTCGTTCTCGATTGCCGCCACGGCCGCGTCCTCCTCGGCGCGCCGAGCCCACTCCTCGGCTCCAAACTAAACTATGACCTCATCGTCTGGGACCCGTTGACGAACGAGCAGCGCTGCCTGCCCCCGGCTCTCGCCCCCACTCACGGACATATCCGGCGGCTACTTCAACGCCGCGGTGCTCTGCTCCGCCGCTGTGGAAGGCTGCGACCACAGCATATGCCACGGTGGCCCCTTCCGCGTGGCCTTCGTCGGGATTCACGGCGTACATTTGTATGCTCGTGTGTACTCCTCGGAGACGGACAATTGGAGTGAGGCGATCTCTGTTCAGAAGCCCCCATTGATGTATCTTCGCATGTTGCGATGCCGCAACACCCTTGTGGGAGACACTCTCTACTTCCACCGCACCTTGAAGTATGCCTTGGAGTACCAGCTTGGTGCACAGCGCTTGTCTATCATCGAAAGGCCTCCACCGCCGGTGTCCCGAAGGGCCATTTGGGTGATTCCCATGGGGGACAGTGGGCTGGGATGCATGGACATCGAGGAGGACGAATCAAGCCTCCATCTACAACTATGGTCAAGGGAAGCAGCTTCAGACAGTGATGAAGTTGCACGATGGACAAGGGGCAGGGCCATAGATCTTGAGGAACTGCTACCTGATGGTGCCCTACCATCTCCACGGTGGACGTCTTTTCCCCGCAGGTTACCGAGTGTACGATTGCTTGGCTTTGCGGAGGGCACCGATGTCATCTTTGTGGGCACACGGGCTCGTAACCACCCCAACCCTCATGCTGTCTATATGGTCCAACTCAATTCAGGGAGGGCCAGGAAGGTGCTTGACCAATGCACTTTCGTCATTCCGTATACAAGCTTCTGCATTCCAGGTATAATATATGCAGCTAAATACCTACTTATATCTTTGTGTACTACTGCTTTGTTAACTTTACATCCTTTAAAATATATGAGTTGCTATTAATGTCTTCTAGACTGCAAGTAATATTATGTCAGTTAGCAACAAGCCTGCAAATATGAAGTTAATATCAATGCTCAAGAATGATTTGTCATTAATGTCTTCTAAACTGCAAGTAATAGTATGTCAGTTAGCAACAAGCCTGCATATATGAAGATAATATGAGCGCTCAAGAATGATTTGTTATTAATGTCTTTTAGACTGCAAGTAATTGTATGCCAGTTAGCAACATATATGTAGATAATATCAACGCTCAAGAAATATTGTTGATGCCACTGTGGTTGCTTTTGGATTAGTAAACGTTTGTAAAGTTGTCATGTTCTCTTTTAGTAGCAGATTCGTCGTACGATGGTGTTTCTACTTTGGTTAATGGGCAATGCATTCATCAACCTGTGATTTTGTTCTCAATTATTTTTTTACATCTCTGCAGTAACTGATGCCTCTTCTACAACTGAGGGGCCAGGAGATAATGCTTTAGGTGCATGACAATCTCAATCTGCTTGTGCATGGGCTTCTGAATCAACCAGTAAGCGTTTCGTGTTGTTTGCAAGTTGTGTTTCTGAGTTTATGCAGTGGGAAGAGCTTTTGGGGCATGTCAGTTCATTTTGCTCTGAGACAACTGTTTGGGACTTACTGATTTCCTGGTGGCGAACTATTTAAATTCATAGCATTTTGCCGGGTTAAACCAAACATAATACTAACCACCCTTGGTCATCCATGTCACCATCTGTTGAAATATTGCTTTTCTTTTTAATTTCCAAAGATATCGCAAATATCATTTTTATTCTTGCTTTGTCATAGGTACTTAACCAATTTGATATGATCTGAAAGTTTGAAGTGATTATTAACAATGTTCTCAAGCTCCAGATTTGTTACATGATTATCATATTTAATTATGCTTTTGTGCTAAGTAGTTGCCATTTATGTACCTAAATCTTCACTCTTACTATCTTTACTACCTCTGATAGTTGGGTTAGCATTTGATATATAATACTTCAGTTGAATCAAAACTATAGAAGCTATATATAATTTTGTCAAGTGCTGGATCGGAATTTTGCAGAAAAAATAGGCCACTTAAATCTTTCTACTGAGTGCAGATCCATTACTAACTTTGTGTCATATAAAACATGCATTGTGTAGTTCTTAAATTCTGCAATTTACAGATAATGCAAAATTAGCTCCTGAAGAAATATTTGAATCAAGTTAGCCTCAGGCAATATTGGGAGACAGACTTGCGTCTGTTGAGGATCTATGAGTGCAGCTTACTGCCTTCTTGATCACTTCCTTGCGTGATCCTCACAGCTGTATATTCTTTTTCCTCTTAATGCTAAAACTAACTACAGACCTCACATTCCACATGATATATGTTCTCTCAGTGGTATTGCTTGAAAACTATGAAATGAACTAAACTAGACCCAGGAGTCAAACCCAGCCAGTGGAGGTGCAGGTGCTACTAAAACATCACAACCATTAGGCTATGATCTTGTTTTCTCATCTGTCAGTAAACCACCATCGATTGTTTTGGCATTGTTGAAATATTTAAGATCAATAGAATGTGACATATGTCTGTATATAACTACAAAGTAAAAATGAATAAGATAAACTCCATTTATATGTCTACTTCTTTTTTCTAGAACGTGCTTAGCACGTGTTTCATTAAGAAGAAGTTTAGAAGCATACACGCCCTACATCACATCACAGCGAGATGCCATTAGTGATGGGGTTTCCTTAGCTCTTAATTTTAGTTGACAGTTGTTATGTGTTTGTAGCATTACTTTACATATTTGGGTTATCTGTTCGATGGGTTGAGTGCATCCCCTGTGGGCAGCTGCAGCTCGATGTCCATGGCTGGCACATGAGGGAAACAAGGCTCTCAAATCATTATCAGCCACATTTACTGTTTCTGCCACCACCATTTGATATTAACTGAAACTATAGATTCTCTCCAATAAAGACAACATTTCTCCTTACTACACTATCAACTAGTCAACTCACTAAATAAATTGAAACAAGTCAGCAATATAGATTCTGTTCATGTTAAAATAAAATCACGCGCTCTAGAAACCCTGCAAAGTTTCACATCACTTCTGATGCAGGGAAATCACTCACGTGACAAACAAATACTATACAAACAAAAGAAACTTACCTAAACACCACGGATCTTACCATGGCCAAAACTATCACCAGGTTTATAAGATGAGGCATCCATTGCCCATATTTAACAATTGTAACAATAATCATGCGAAACCGGATGGGGTCTCTATTACTCACGCTGTCACGCATCACGGGCTGGCCAAAACTGTCTGTCGCGTAGTTTCTAGTTGTATGTGAGTTTAGCAACAAGCCTGCATATATGAAGATAATATGAGCGCTCAAGAATGATTTGTTATTGATGTCTTCTAGACTGCAAGTAATTGTATGTCAGTTAGCAACAAGCCTGCATATATGAAGATAATATCAGCGCTCAAGAAACTTTGTTGATGCCACTGTGGTTACTTTTTGGATTAGTAAATGTTTGTAAAGTTGTCATTTTGTTATTTAGTAGCAGTGTCAAGGGCGTCAAACCCAAGGATAGCACGACCTCGACTACGCAGTTCGTAGTCGCGATCCGTCTTCTCCGGCGAGGTTTTGCCCCTCTGCCGCAGGCTTAGGAAATGCAAGGGAGAGAGAGGTTTGTTTGGAACTGATTGCTTCCTATTCTCAATCTCTGATTACATACTATATATGGTCGGGCGCCCCTCGACTACGGGAGTAACAAATCTCCTCAATCTTAGGAAATGTAAATAGCAACTAACTTAAAATAGAAACTAATCTTATTATGCCTAATTCTAGCCACTATTGTTGACTTGGCCTGTGGGCTCCCTCGACGCTTTCTGCACACAGCCATGCTGGCGCTTTCGCACGGCTTCGGCGCCGTCCCGTGCCCCTGTGGCGCCTGGCATAGGTTCGCCCCACATGACATCTCTCCTCTCGAGAGCCACTCGTCCTCGAGCCGGAACGCCGTAACGCCTCCTGAAGGTGTCCAGTGTCTTCCCATGTGGCGGACGCAACCGATTCCCCTTCCAAAGGGGACCAGAACTTGGCGAACGCCCCGAGCTAGCCGAGAACGGGCGGCGCTCGCTCGGGCTCAATGGCACCGTGGTGGGACCGCAGCGATCCGGGAGGCGATGGTGGCGGCGCAGCTCCCACGAACTTCCCGAGGAGGCCTCACGTGGAACACGTCGTGGAGCTTGGCGCGAGGCGGGAGCTCGAGGCGGACGGCGACGGGGTTGATCACCTCGACGACGCGGTAGGGCCCGGCAGCGGGCTTGAGCTTGCCTTGGACACTTGGGGCGCGATCTTGGGCGCGGTGATGGAGGCGCAGGAGAGAACGAGTCGCCCGCCTCGTAGGACACCGCACGGTGGCCTTTTCGTCGTAGTACTTCTTGTGCGCCGCGCTGGGCTGCGCTCTAGCCGGTAGCGCGCACGCCGCCGAGAACTCGTCACGGTCCGCCATGGAGCGAGCGACGGCCGCCACGCGCGTCTCGCCGGGCTCGTAGGACCTGATGATCGGCGGGTCGCGCCCGTATACCACCCGGAACGGCGTGTCGCGGAGAGATGTCTGATAGGCGGTATTGTAGATGTATTCCGCCCACGGGAGCCACCGAACCCACTGCCGAGGTCGGTCGCCGGTGAAGCACCGCAGGTACATGACGATGACCTTGTTGGCGGCCTCCGTCTGGCCATCAGATTGTGGGTGGAAGGCCGTCGTCATGTGCATCTTTGTACCGGTCAGCCGCATCAACTCGCGCCAGAAGGATGACGTGAACACCGGATCCCGGTCCGACACCATGGACTGGGGTATGCCGTGGAGGCGCACAATGTCCGCGTAGAACGCCTGAGCCACTGATTCAGCTGTGTAGGGGTGAGCCAAAGGGATGAAATGACAGTACTTGCTGAACCGGTCGACGACGGTGAGGATCACTGTCTTCCCACCCACACGGGGCAGAGCTTCCACGAAGTCGAGGCCAATGTCGGCCCACACCGTAGTTGGAACCGGCAGGGGAAGAAGCAGGCCGCCCGGGTGCAAATGCTCAGACTTGTTGCGCTGGCATGTGTCGCACGCCCGGACGAACTCCTGAACCACCCGGCGCATGGCGGGAGAGTGGAAATCGCGGCGCAGCCTGTGCAGGGTACGCTGCACGCCTTCATGTCCGTCGTTGTGGATTGCCGCCAGGATCTCGTGGAGCAATGGTGACGATGGCGGAATGTATAGCCGGGAGTCGAACATCACCATCCCGTCGCGAAGCGCCCACGGCGCGCTGCGGGTGCCGGCCTGGATGGCGTCGCGGAGGGCCACGAGAGCAGGCTCCGTGGTCTGGGCTGCCCGCAACCGCTCGATGTAGTCGAACCGTGGCGCCGACAGTGCCAAGACGGCACCCTCGTCCGTGTCGCGGCGCGAGAGGGCATCGGCCACCACGTTGGAGGCGCCCGACTTGTACTCCACCGAGAAGTCGAAGCCGAGGAGCTTGCCCACCCAATGGTGTTGGGGGATGGTCGCCAGGCGTTGATCGAGCAGGTACTTGAGGCTGTAGTGGTCCGTCCTCACCACGAACGTACGCCCCCACAGATACGGCCGCCAGTGGCGGATGGCGAGGACGAGGCCGATCAACTCCCGCTTGGCGCGGCGCGACGGGGCGGCTGAAAAACGCCAGCGGGTGCTTGTCCTGCAGGAGTACCGCGCCGAACCCATGCGTAGAGGCGTCGCACTCGACGACGAATGGCTTGGCGAAGTCGGGTAGCGCCAGAACCGGGGCCGTGGTGACGGCGTGCTTGAGGGCGTGGAACGCAGTCGCCGCCTCGTCGGACCACCGGAACCCCTCCTTCTTGGTCAGCGCGGTGAGGGGGGCGGCGATGGTCCCGTAGTCGTGGACGAACTTGCGGTAATAGCCCGCGAGCCCCGTGAAGCCCGGACGGCGCGGCCGAACGCTGCGATTCTGCGCCCATCCACGACAACAGCACCTTGGCCGGGTCCATGGACACGCCCGTCGCGCCGATGATGTGGCCCAGGTAGGAGATGGAGCTGACGCCGAAAGCGCACTTTGAGCGCTTGACGAATAGGCGATGCTGACGCAGCAGGAGGAGCACCGCCCGGATGTGCCTCAGATGGTCTGCCCAGGTGTTGCTGTAGATGAGAATATCGTCGAAAAACACAAGGACAAAACGGCGAAGATATATGCGAAGGATGTCGTTCATTAGTGCTTGGAACGTCGCCGGGGCGCTGTACGTACCGAATGGCATGACCAAGAACTCGTAGAGACCATCGTGCGTCCTAACGCCGCCTTGGGGACGTCTTCACCAAGATCCGGACTTGATGATAGCCCGAGCGCAGATCAAGCTTGGTGAAGAACTTGGCGCCGTGCGCATACCGTCCAAAGAGCCGCCCACCACCGGGATCGGTAGGCGCCCTGACGGTGATGGCGCTGAGGGCCTCAGAAGTCGACGCA